AAAAATCATGCAGTTGACCATGCTAGGTGTGCATGGGATTTTTAGGACAGAGAAAAAGATTTCTCAGATCCCACTCATGGAACTGCTGGAGATTGGGAGCTCCCCATTTCCAGGGACACTTAAAGCCCTGCTTTTCATTTAAAGCCCTGAGCTGCCACTGATGCAGTTTTGGGATTCTGCCTGATCCCCGGACTAGGCAGGGAGAGGCTGTGTCATGGACTTTTAGGCTGCCCTCTGCCCATTACTGATGATCACACGCTATACATTTACTTTAAAGCTAGGTACAAACCAGCCATTAAATGTTGAACATCACCATGGCTTGTTTGCCATTTGATCCTATCATAAATTCTTCGAATGTGTGGAATGTTACAATTTATCATGCAATTAACATATTCATCGCATGATAAATATAACATCTGCCAGAGGCCTATGAAATGGAGAGAATCACTTCAGGTTTTTACCACCAAAATGAGCTTAGGCTCACAAAAGGTCATACTATCGATCTCTGATTTACTTAGTCTAAGATGGGCAAATTACACTGCTTTCTATCATTTTAATAGTTATTAAATTCCTCTTTTGTAGCTGGCAAGACGTGGGCTAAATATTGCTATGATAAGTAGAACACTTGAAAAACTGCAGAAAGTGGCTACTGAAATTGGTAAGTCTTTTATATCTGAAGATAACCATGCACCTGTTATGTTACCTTGAGCAAGTCACTTAACTGCTTACACAACACCTCCATACCTTCTTTGTCTGTCTTGTTGATTTAGATTATCACCTCTAGCTCCATTCTATTTCTGTCATTTACCTAAATCCAGGGGTCTATAGGGCCAAATTCAATTTTTGTACCAAGACCTTATACATATTTAAAAATTATTTTAAAATAGACTAACTGGTGGGATGTAATCATTCCTGAAATAACTTCATTGACCTCAGTGTTTGGGTTGGATGCCTTCAACCCCGTAGATATGCCAGACAGAAACTCCCAAAATTGGAATCCCACATGGGCAGACATCTGCAGAAGTGTTGGAATGCAGAATAAAATTTCCACATATTCACACAGGAAGTCTTCTTTAAATACAAGATAACATCTGATATAAAAAAACCAAACAAGACAGCTGATAGAGGACAGCCAACTATGGCTGTTATGCTACTAACCAACACATTTTGTATACTGTATGGAAAGCACTGATCAAACCATAAAATGAGAGCTAGCTAGCTGCACACTGATGATAATACCACCATTTGAATTATATATATATGTAAACACATTTGTCAAATAGCTTTTTAAGAGATTTGCTGCTAATGATAATATTCAGCCCTTCAAAGTTCTCTCTAGTCATAAATCTTTTCTTTACATCTTCTTTTGTTTTAAAATAACTTGTGTAGTGTCCAGCTTTCAAACCAATTCTACTCCCTGCAAACTTTCCACCCACTTCTGTAACAAACATGATTTTTATCTTTGTGTATGAGCTAATTTTTCTCTCTGCTTTCAAATTCTCTTATTACTGTTTCAAGTGTGTTATTTGTAACTACAAAGATCTGTTCCTTTGACACTCAAGCTTACTACTTTGATGTCTCATTCAATTCTCCAGGCAGGGAAGAGAGAGATTCTATGAGATTGTGTCTCCCAGCAAAACTTCCGACATAAGCTTTGACCTCTTATTATCTTATCTTTGGGAGTTGATGCCAAATGTTGATGCCCTCTTCTCTTTGGAAACCAGGGTTCCCAAGTTTTTTAGTCATGAAGGAACTAGATGAGTCCTTCTGAATGACACATACAAAATACCTCAGATTGAAAAAATAGGGTATAGGTTTTCCTAATTAAACTTTAATTCCATCAATTTTCTCCTCCCTTTAAAATCAAAGGGGCCGAGTGGAAGTATCTACATGAGATGCTAAATGCACAGTAGACCAAAAACCATGCTAGTTCACAGTAGAATTAGTCTGCTGCACATTAGGGTCACAAAAGTGTGCACCAATGCTACTGTGCAGTAGCGCTGACTACAGCGTATTAAGTTAGTACCTGTTATTACAGGTACTAAACTTAATGAGCCGTAATTATGGCATATTAATGAATGTAGATGTGCCCACTGACTCATATGTTTTGAAACCCAAAGCTTTTTTGCTTCTGGCACACTTAGAACTTAAAAATAAATGGAATAACCTTGGGTCTTCTTAGGGTTTCATAAATCTGTGCGCAGATAGGGAGAGATGTGTTCAACATGTGAAAGGATTTTGGCTCTGTGCTTTATAGAATAAACATCATTTCTAAAGAGTAGTCCCTAGAGAATTGTTTTAACAGTGAGGTAGTTTTATTATTTTTTAATATATTATTTCACTCTTAAAATGACTGATGCCATCTGGAATATTTATTTAGTGGCTTTCAACATTTCTAAAGATGGTTTATTAAGCGCTGAGGTCATGGAAGATGTGCAGCTAGATGAAGTGGAATTAGAAGTCTGTAATTTCTAGGGCAATTAGGGTGTACAAAGTGCTGGTGAAGCTAGTTTACCCAGATAAAAAAACACAAGGTGAGATACAATATCAGGTTCTGGTGAGATGCAGTCAGTTTCCATTTCCTTATTACTTAAGCAGTGATATTTTTGCAACTGTGTATATTTGGATCAACAATTGTAAGCAGGGAGGAGAAGACTTTCAACTGATCCTGATTCACTTTGCAAATCTTTCAACAAATATGATCTGAGGTTCAAGATGATTGTAAGATGTGAAAACAAATTAGTACTATGTATTTATCATGTGGGCCCCTGCTCAAAGAATCATCATTTGAGTATTATAACTTTCATTTTTTAAATAAGTCTCACCTTTTCTACATCTTAGCCTTGAAAACATAGAGATATAAACCAGTTCCTAAGACAGAAATATGCAGCTGAGCTCAACTTTTGCGACAGAAATGATGTTGTGTGGATTATAGATCCCTCAATTTCCCTTCCCTCCTCGAATTTCTTCAGTAATTCTTCAAAAAGTCCTTGACAGGCCCATTCTATAAAGAGATGACTATGATGAACAAAAGCATGTTATATTTGAGGAGGGAAATATTATTTCATAACCAGCCCCTCAAAATGGGTAAGTACTGCTGCTTGTTAGAATTTTTTTTATAATAAATTGCAGCTATTTTATAAACACTAAAATAATTTGGGAAAAAGGGGATTAGACATATTTTGGGGTAGTATTAGTTTGGGAGCCAAGTTTTGTTTGGATATTTAGGCACAGCATTCATTGATTTCAGAGAAGAAATTGACTCTGTGTTTTCAAGGTCATTTTCCCAAACACTAGCAGATTACAGCAAGTGTCTTTTGTTTATATTTTGAACACTCTTCAAAAAGAAAGAGATTTGAGTTGCATGCAATATCAAGGGCAGTAGTTAGCTTGAACATGAAGTTCGTGGCTCGTTGCTCTCAGTTAGAATTCTCTCTTTGCATAAATATGCTTTTTTGTTGTTGTTAACTACAGAGCAGGCCACAGGTAGAAAGGTGAAGGTCATACAAGCTGACTTTACAAAAGATTATGTGTATGAGGCTATTGAAGAAAGTCTTCAAGGCTTGGAAATTGGAATTTTGGGTAAGTTAATTAGGTCTATTCATTGAAGAGTATTTTGAAAAATGCATTATTCTTATTTATATAACATGTTAGGTGGTTGGAATTTATTATGCAGCTACAATTTGTTGTAACTTATTTTTTAACCTGGTGTAAATTTCACAAAGAAATAACACATTTTTTAACAGGGGAACTTTGTTAATTTAACATGAGCAACAGTTTAACACAGAGTTTTGAGATATTATAAACAGGTTTACCAAGGAGACCTGCTATCCATATTCTGTGATGACTGTTTAGCATCAGTTAATTCATTTTTGCTAATGATTGTGTTAGAGCTGTGTGGAATTCTTGTATTCAACCTGAAAACTCATTGAAATGAGCCTTTGGTTCAGGCTTGCTGATGGAAGATGAATAGGAACAATAAAAAATAATCTTTTTTTTTTTTTTTTTAAGCATCCTTTAAAAAAAATTTTAAAACCCCTGTAATGGCCTGTTTTACTGCACTGAAGTCAAGCTTGATAGCTTCAATGAGAACAAGATCAGACGCTAAAACGGCATTTCTTCTCACATAGCATTTAAAAGCTTCTAAAACTTCAAGAGAAACCGTTTGTTTAACTGGCTAAATTATGCACTTCATCCTGATATGGTTCTTATTATTATGTTTCCTTTGATTAGTTAACAATGTTGGAATGCTTCATAATCCTGTTCCATGCCGATTCCTTAATGGACCAGACATAGCTGAGGTAGGATTACTTTGTGGTATTCTTCTTGCAATGTAACAATTAGGCCCTGTAGTTCCATTTACTAAAGGAGAGACCCTGCTCCAATCATTGTAGTCAATGGAAGTAAGTCATTCAGTGTAGTGGGAGAAGAGCTGGGCCCTAATGGACTTTTCAAAGGGGCTGGTGAGAGAAGAACAATGTTTAGAATTAAGCAATATTGACTAAAGGGCTTAATGATTGACTGGGAGAGTGGCCGACTCAGGGCACAGTAGTGAAGAATCAGTAGCATCTAGGACTGTTAGTTATGAAATGTTTTCACACCACCAGGCATATTGATGCCCAGCCTGGTCATGGCTTTTAAAGTGTTTCTACAGTATAAATGTGGAATAATAGTAGTAGTAGTAGTAGTAGTAGTAATGATGTCTAAATGAATGTCTCTGCTTTGAAGTTGCTGTTGCTTGTATAAATGGAAAACTTTCTGTTGGCTTTGTTGGTGAATATCACTAGTTTTTAAAGAAGGATAGTTTTAGAGAATAAATACCTGGTACAGTTTATGCAGTCAAACCTCTTGAATTTCTCTTCACCTTGCCACTTTGATGCTATTATATTAAGCCCACATAAGCAATGTTAAAACTAGTTTCTACCTAGACCATTTTTTCCTCACCCCAACTTAAATATGCACCTAGTTGGCTTTAAAGTAAGTCATAACCTGGATCATTGAGGGCCACATTTTTAAAAAAGGTTCCACCTGGTACTCAAACATTACACTTTACTTTCTATGTCTATCTACTTAATTTGATTGCATAGATACAGTTTGCTTGCCCAGCATCCTGGTGTTGGCATCTGCAAAGACTTGGAAAACTTATGTCTGCACAATCATAACCATGATTTTTGAAGGCCACGATTAAATTAAATGAGCAAAAAAGCTTGTATGCATTTGTGCTCCTAAATATGTATGTGCAGCTCCTATGAAAGTATGATATATTTATATTTAATATATAGTATAGTGCAAAAGTCACTTTTAGAAGTCTTTTCAAAATGAATCATTTTATATTATCAACACCAGCTTGGGAACTCCTCAAAATGCATCTTTGCATTTTTCTTTGTTTCCAATAGAACCTCATCAACTGCAACATTATCTCCGTTACCAAGGTATGTGATGCATGCATTTTTAACATGCAAGGCAAAGAATATATTTCTGAAAAAGACATTAACCCATTCCTACCTACCTTCATTTTGATTTGTTTACCCCTATTTGCTGATCCTTAGCAGGAAGGGCAGTATTACTTCAGGGATGTAATCAACATACCAAATTTTACTACCTGTGATCTATTTTGATAAGAGCTATTTGAAATCTTTTTAATCATTTTTTTTTATGTCCAGTTGAAAACTTCTCAATTCCAACAAACTCTTTTATGAGAGAGTTTCTTAGATCTAGGATGTACAAGAAAGGGAGGGAGAGATAGGAAACCAAATGCTTTGTCATAATTCTTGAATCAGTTGTTACAAAACACAACTGTCATTCTCTGCCAGCTCTAATTCTGATTATCTACTTAAAGTCAGCCAATATTTCACCACCTCTCTAAATCGGATTAAGATTTCATTTTGCTCTGCTTCTCGGAGCAGCATATTAAACTGAACTACAGCCTAATGCTTCACAGTTCACCTCAACCTTAACTAATATAATTTTGAACATATTGTGAGAGGTGTTTATCAACGTCCTCTCTCTTTAATTGTTAAAAGTCTCTTCACCTTATCTAAGTACCTACCTCCCAAATTTAGACTGTTGCTTGATGACACCACATACTTTCTCCAACACTTTAGACCAAACCTCTTGTTCTTCTCTGAGAATTGTTTTTATTATTTACTAAGGAATATTTTTGTTGGAGGATATCTAGAGTCTAAAATGCAGCAAAAGCACATACCCAAAAACAATTCTACTTGAAGAGGGGGAGGGGGAGGGGGGAGGAAGGGAAAGCTGGGTTCAAGCATGTTGGAATAGGATTAGCCAAAATAAGCAGTGTCAGCTTAGATAAATATTACATATTTTAAAGAAGAATAAATCCTCAAGCAATTGTTTAATCAAAATAAAATAAACATTTTTTTAAAAAGGATTTTTTTGTTGAAAGCTCGGTTATTGTAAGTCAGTTGAACAGAACGGGCAAGCTTGCATATTCATCTGCACAATAAATACATACACTCAATACAAAGAACAAGTATGTAAATCTGAGTATGGTTTACGCAGTCTCCTTTTATTTCTTTCTACAAAAATCCTCATCCAGTAGCTACTCCCTACCCCTCCATCTTGCTCCACCCTCCCATCTTTCAAAGCCCTGATGATTTTTCCACCTGATTACTACAGCCTTCTTCCTGGCATCACACATATCCACTTCCCCCCACAATAGTCTAAACCAGGAGTGGCAAACTCATCTCATCCCACAGGCCAGATGTATTGGGCCCAGGGACGTCCCCCATGTTAGTTCCAGCACACATGGTACCCACTCTGGCTGGTTTGGGAGGTAAGAGACTCAGCATCCTGGATGCCTGGCTACCGCTACAGGAACAAGTCACAGTGCCAGGCTTTTTCCTCTGGTGCTGCTGGGGCTCTCAACTGCAACTTAAACCCAGGTGCTTGGCTGTTGCTGTAGGGACAAACTGCAGTGCTGCTGGGGCTCCAGTGCCACGGGTCTTGCCCAGGCCTCTGGAAGGCTCCCCCACATCAAGGCTGTGGACCAGATCTGGCCCATGGGCTGTATGTTTGACACCCCTGGTCTAAACAAAAAGCTGATAAAAAATTGTGCTCCTTGCCCACTTCTCTGTGTCCAACCCCTTTTCAAATGTTTCTTTTGGCTTGTCTTCTATCTTGATCAGATATAAGCTCCTGGCCTTTTGTCCTTCCAAATTCTAATCATCCTAGCATGAAATTCTGGTCCCATTGAAGTTAATTGGCTTTTTGCCATTGACTCGAATAGGGGCAGAATTTCTCATGTAGCATCTCCTTTCATCTTTATTCTTGATTTTCTGTTACCATCTTTGCTTCAGTGAGGCTTCAAGATAAATTTATTGAAATCTTACAGCTACTCTCACTTCTAGACCTTTATCTGTTTGGTCCATGGTGCTTGGTAACTCCTCCCTTACCAGTCTGACTTGACATACCTTCATCCTCTGTTTTTTAAAGACCATTCTGAACGTAAAGATTATGGTTAGGGTCCTGGGACTTATGAGGATATGCTGAGGGGACTGGGCTTATTTAGTTTGGAGAAGAGAAGACTAAGGGGGGATTTAATAACAACCTGAAGGGTGGTTCCAAAGAAGATGGGCTAGACTGTTCTCAGTGGTGGCAGATGACAGAACAAGGACCAATGGTCTCAATTAGCACCCATGGAAGTTTAGGTTAGATATTATGAAAAACATTCTCAGTAGGAGGGTAGTTAAGTACTGGACCAGGTTACCCAGAGATGTCGTGGAATCTCCATCCTTGGAGGTTTTTAAGACCAGACTAGACAAAGCCTTGATTGGAATTATATGATTGGTGATAGTCCTGCTTTGAGCAGGGGGTTGGACTAGATGACCTCCTGAGGTCCCATCCAACCCTAATTTTCTATGATTTCTATGAATATCAGCCAGCACATGCCCAACTCCTTCACTCTACTGAAAGTATAGCATGGAACATATGGTCATGTTTAACTTCACCATTTATGTGCTCTGCTTCTCATTGTTTCCTTTCCTGTTCTTTGTCTATTCTCTATTAAGGCTCTTCATCTACAAAGACTTACCTAGTTGAGTTACAAGGGATTCAGGCATATGCCCAATGTCAAGTATGTGATCAAGTGCATTGATAAAACAGGGTCACATGATCAGGGTACGTGATTGAACAATTAAGATCCAAAATCACTGTCAAGCTTTTTTTAGGTTTGAAAAAGTTGATAACTTCTTCCCTTTTCTTGTTATGTATCTGCAATTTCTGATTCTTGTTGAAAAATGCTGACATAGCATGAATTTAGACACTCCTTAGATTTCTGACTCAGTATTGCAGACCCAAGTTATTCAGATTAGTTAAATTTAAGAATTTTTAATTGCTTATCAGACTGACTCCTGAAACCTATTGATAACGGTTCGATTTATTGGCGTGCTCTAATTTGTGCTTGTAACATTTCTAATGACTTCCAGAAATTTCAAGGTGCCAGTTTTTTAGCTTCTTAATTCTTATCCATATGACTAAGGACCCATGCTTTCAAGAATTACTTATTGATATATTTATATAATGTATTTTGTCTGCAAAAATTATAAAAAAACGAAAAAGAAAAAAGAGAAAGAAACTTGGGAAGAAGGACAGGAATTTGGGGAGAGAAAGAGGAGAATGTGTTTAACTCTTAACTCATTTATTTCTTTTAGATGACAAGGATAATTTTGAAGCAAATGGAGCCAAGGTAAACTCTGTTTTTTCCCCTTAAAATTTCTGTTGGTTTCAGTTCTTGCAAGAACTTGCCATCTCCAATTAGTTCAACAATAACTGTTCTACTTCCTGGCATGATGCTACTTGATGTCATTAGTTTTTGTTACTGCTTCTGTCATGGGCACAAATTAAACGAATTATTTTTAAAAAGGAAAGATGAATTATTTTTTCTTAAATACATATTCACTTGAAACCATTAAGACATAGGATTGAAAGACTGTTACTCACATATGTAAGGTCTCAAGATTTGGAGAAAACATAGGCAATACAATATTCTAGGGCACAGTAAACATTTTTGTTTTTGGCACCAGTAAAGTTAAATTTCTAACTTTAAGTAGTTATTTCTGATGAAAAGCTGTTTTTTACTGCTGTGAGATGCCTTTTACTGTGTTGACTGACAGTTGAAGCACAAATGCAGTAAGCAGGAAGCATGTGTTGGTAATCAGAAAAGAGTGATGATCAAATATGAGACTAAAATATTTTCTATGAAGTTTTTAAATATCAAATAACTGTTTAGGCTTAGTGAGATGTACGCTAGCATGTTCCAGCTGTACTAATTAAATTGCACTTACGAAGTTATTTCTGCCATTTTATATTTTATCATCTTAAGTGAGCTCTAAAGACATATTCTGTGAGAATGTGACCCGTTTTGTTTCTATAAAGGAGTTTTGACGTCTAGAAGGAAAATTTCATTTTATGCAGTAGCCAGGTACTGCTGTGATATAGTAAAAGGTAAATTAAATGTAACTAAATATAACTTGAATTTCAGACAAAAAGGACTTATTCTGAACCTTTCTTCTGGTTTGGGCACCTTTCCTTGTCCATTGTATACTTTATATTCAGCTTCTAAAGTAAGTTTTTCTTATTGCTTCATAAATAAGTGTTGATACAATAGTCATCCAAAACACAATATGTGCTATTATAAGACCAGGTCTTCTATTTGGGTATTTCAGGGTATGGACAAACCTGCTTTAGAAGGGGAGGGGGGAGCTGCTGCTCAGGATTCTGTAGCAATGCAAGTTAGCTAGTTCACCCTATCTTTGACCCTGAATGAAGAGGGCTTAAAGTTGGAACAGCTTTACTATACTTGTATTGTTACAGAATCATATAGAGATCACAGCTGCATTGCAACAGCCTGTACAGCCATCCTTTGGTGTTGATAACATTGCTATATCTGTTTGCAACCTCAGTTAGTTTCCTTGAAGTCACTAAACAAAGTTTTACCCTCACTGGGTGCATCTATGGTGCTCTTTACTGCAGATTTCACTACTACGGATTTCACATTTTAGCTCCACTGTAAAGTGTCAGTCTACACATGTGCTGGTATTAGGATGCAGTATATTAATTAACTCCACCATAACACAGTACTGTCAAGGACAGCACTACCCTATGGCGAAGTAATTATGTGAGCTGAAACACGTGTAGGTGGTGACAGGGGCTGGCTGGTGCACAAGGGTGCTAAAGTGCAGCGGTTGCCTGCTACCTAGGTGCACACTTTAGCATCCTCATGCCCCAGCCAGCCCCAGTGCCACCTGTTGCCACCACCCAGAGCCGGGGGCTGACCCCCAGAGTCCTCTGCCAGCCCAGGGCTATTCCACCCAGGCTCAAAGTGCTTCTGTTCTAGGTGCACATGTAGACTCTGTGTCTGGGAACAGTTGACTCCAGCACAAACTGCACCAGAGTTTATTGTTCAGTCTTAATTTCACATGTAGATGCACCCACTGAGATTCAGGAACCTGTGGCGCACCATAAATTCACAGTAGCTGAGGAACAGGCTCATAAAGTTGGACTATTTCACTTACATATTTAAATAACACAACTACAATATTCACAGAATTCCCCTGAACTAAATAAAAGAACAGACGTAGGGATGAGCTAACTGGTTTATAACCAGAAGCTATACAGAATCTATTTGCTGATCTGAGCATGAAGCTTTTGTGTATTGAAGAGATGGCTGATGCTTTGCCTGAGTTCAACCCATCTGCTGTTCCACTTTGAGATATTAAGGTGAGTTAAAAATTCCTCAAATCTTTAAGTGAAACCAGCAAACTAAAGTTTTGGTTATTTCCACTCAAAACCGCAAAATGTTCAGCAAAGCTTAGGTTTGCTTGAAATTCCATCTGAGTGCACTCAAAACCCAGACAATCCTTAAACAAACATAGTCCTCAGCTGTGTAACAAAAACGAAAGCCTCTGGTTTCTCTTTTATTTACCTAAGTTTCTCATAGCTCTAGTAAAAAATTGAATCAGGTTCAAACCAAATATTTTTTGATGTTTGAAAAAGCTTGGTTGTATAAAAGTTATCAGTTATCTACTGAGTCTCTCTGTCTCTGATACTTGCAGGTCCCCCATCACTAAAGTATCTGTGTCTAACAGTCTTTAATTTGAGATGGAGAAGTGCTATTATTCTTGTTTTTACCAATGGAGAAATGAGGCAGTGAGACTTGCCTAAAGTCACATTGAGAACCCTATAGTAGAGCAGGGACTGAAACCCTGTTCTCTGGATTCCTTTAATTATTAGATCATTCTTCCTCTTTATGGGCATATCTACATGTGCAATTAATGTGCTCAAGTAAACTCTGAAGCTTACTGCTTTGGAGTACTTTGCTCCTGGGTGCACCTTTTGAACATGGGCCCAGAAGCAAAAAAAAACTCTGGCGAATATTGCTCCAGAGTTTATTGTGCATAGCACATTGAGCCTAATTAGAGCAACCCTGGCTACAGCAGCCCAGGGCTGCTCCAACCAGGCTCAGTGTGCTGTGGAGGATCTGGCTGGGGCATGAGGGTGCTTCATTGCAGGGCTAGCCAACAGACAGCCCCTGCACTGAAGCAGCCTCATGCCCCAGCCAGCCAGGCAGTGTCTACATCTGGAAAAAACTCCAGAGTTGTTTTGCCTGCTCCAGAGTTTATTAGTTTAGTGCATCCTAATAAGAGCAAACATGTAGATGCTGAGACGTTTACTGCAGAGTTAATTAGGCAGCTCCACAGTAACATCTCATGTAGATGCATCTTATTTGTATAGTTATTTCCATGTGCAAAGTAAAATGTTATCATTGGCGTAACTAAGTGGAGAATACTGGTTCAATAGTATTTTATTCTCACTTTTTATTCCAGCTGTGTAGGAATGACATGCTATACAAAGTGCAAGGCAAAAGGGACTCAGCCCCCTTTCCCCCCTGCCCCCATCTTTCTGATTAGGGATGATATCAAACTGGGTTGAAATGCTTGAACCTTATGTACCTTTAACTCTAGATGCCACATTCAGATCCATACATGTAACTTGGGTCTATGAAATATGAGAAAAGACTCAAATTTAAGGTCCTGGCAAATAGCTCTTTTGTCTTCTGTTTCATTCTTTTTCTTAGAGAGCTTGTGTAGCAGCTTCATCTAAGAATCAAATGCAAAATACAGCTTTTATTCTCTGTGGCCTGACAGAGCACATTCAGCCAACCAACTATTCTATTGCTTTGTTTTGTTTCTCATAGGGGATAGGCACTGCATGAGCTTTGCTTCCATTTTTTTGGATTGAATTGACATAGTGGACTAAAAAGAACTGTGCAAATGATTAATTGTCTAATACTATAAAATTAATCCCATATTAAGGAAAGGAGTTTTCTTCTCGTTGTCCTTTATATCTTTAGATTCTGGTGTAAAAATACTGATGTATAAAACAATAAGACCTTTCTGAGAACTGGCTAGAAATTACCATAAGGTTTATCTTCAGTATTGTTATTATGCAGCTACTTCCTGATGAAACATGCAGTGTGGCTAAGTCTTGCAATTTTTCTTAAAATTCACATAATTGTATGAAATCATGTGATTATGTAAGAATTTCAGCCGTCACTTTAAAAATAGTATATTTCTAATCTTTATGTTGTGGACAAATGTTTGAGAGCATGAATCCTAAAGTTTCAAACACCAGAAGACAACAAAACACTGTCAAATTATGAGGTTTTTTTTAAATCTCAATATTTATAAACCAGTAAGTATATGGAGCCCGACTTGTGGCTTTTAATTGTTTTGATGATGCAGAAGGCTCTTGAACAATGGCAATGCAAATATGTGCATAGTCCAGACCAGCTTCAGGGTTCATTCGCTATAGTCAATTAAAAGAAACTCCAATGAAGTAAGTGAAATTACTGTTCTGTAAATTATGCAGGATGGCATCAGCAAAAGAAGAATACATTATGTTTTGGTTTGGAATATAGGAGCTAGGCTCCAGCATTTTTCCCACTGTCATATGAATCACATTTTCATGGTACAGGGTAAATATTTGGGGCCTGTCTTCAGTAGTATTTGCTTCATTTCTGGTTTGTGCTGGAATATAGGTACAGATTTTTATAATGTAAACAAGTCCTTTGGAGTCAGCATCGGGTCTGTAGTTCTTTCTGTAGTTCAATAGCGTGTGAACTAATCAACTTGTCTTCTAGTCTTGCACATCAGTTGTGCCTAAGTCTTTGGATGATACTTAGTTTATTTGATAAGGGGTCTGTGTACATGTATGTGGGCATGGGGTTGAGGGTCTGCATGTTTACAGGAAATGTCAGCGTCTTATGATTATATGTATTTCATTTTATCATTCTAGGCTTATATATGCACATTTTCCAAAGCACTTCAAGCAGAGTATAAGAAAAAGGGAATTATCATACAGGTGATACAGTATCTATCTTATCATAATTACCTTTGCTTTCATGAATCCTTGAAATCCAGCACAGTATGGCCAATCACATAAGGTGCTTGGTGTCCTGTGTGAAATTCTGGATGCTTCAATGCCCATGTCAGAATTTCCTTTTCCTCTCCTATCTAAGCTTCCTTTTCCTGTTCTACCTCAAAAATGGCTGCCATTTCACTTCAGGTGGCTACAGTTTGTTCAGTACTATGGAATTCTAAAGAATGAAAGGTATTATGTAAACATTTGGTGTTGATACACCCCCGAAAGTTGTGATGATTTTCTATTTTAGGTGGTGACTCCATATGGTGTGTCTACTCCGATGACCAAGTACCAAAAACCAAATGTAATAATGAAGACTGCGGAGGAATATGTTAAAGAATCACTGGAGTATGTCACCTTTGGAGATGAGATATTTGGTTGTTTATCCCATGAAATCTTGGTAATTGATTTTAATAATCATGAGGGCCTCTCCAGAGGCTTGTTGAACTCAACAGAAGTCTTCCCATTGATTTCAATGTACTTTGGATCAGGCTCCAAATGAGAAATTTTGTCTAAGCCTAGTGCCAACTATGGGTTATTTATGTGTATATGTGGCACCAGTTAACCATCATGTAATGTAGAGAACATAGCTATCTATATACAGTAGCTATTAACAATGATGAGAATTGGATACAAGTATTGAGAGGAGAGTAGACTCCACCATTTGAAAACAGGAAAAAGATTAAAAGTATTGACTGTAAAAGTATTAAAATAGAAATCCTTTCATTACTAGTTGTTATTACCTACATTAACACTCAATTGATATAGAGGCCTATAATATTTGTTGTCTCTGTATTGTTTTTCTTTGTTTTGTTTAACTGCTCTGAAGGCCTGCGTCCTGCAGCTCATTCCCTTATGGATATTCCACAGCAAGAGATTTCAAGAGGTAGTCCTGCACGCATTTACAAGTTATCTGAAGAACAGCTGGAGGAGCTACTAACAAAGTTATCCTTTTGGAATATGTGCAATGGAGAATCCTAGCTTTGCATAATTTATGTTTCTGGGCCAAATTAGTCTCTGATTTAAGTCCACCAAAGTAATATTGGCCCAATGTGCTGACTGAAGAATTTATAAGGGCCTGATTCAAAATCCACTAAAGTCAGTGGGAGTCTTTCTAGTAGCTTCAGTGGACATTTGATCAGGCTATAAGAGCTTATGTTGCTGCTGCTCTCTGCTGAGCTTGCATACAGTGGATATATGAAGCTGTTTGATGTTTACTAATAAAATGATAATTTTCTGTGTTTCCAAGATGAATTTGGACTTTATTTCCAAGCTTTCAGGAAAACCCAGGTGATTTATAGATTGGAGGCTTTGGATTCTTGCAGAAGTTTTTTCAAAAGGTGACAGGACCTGTAGGAAGAGTCTTTGGAGGATGAGGAGGATATATGCATATAATGCCTTTGGAAGTTTGCAGGAGCATAAATATAATAGTGGCAAGGAATCTTTGGATCTTTAACTGCCTGTTGCGTAACCTCTACCTGTAAAATTGGTAGAAACAATAATAAGAAAAAGAATTGCTCAGTATACGGATGAACATAACTTGCAGGGGAAGAAGTAACATGGGTTTGTCAAATAAAAATCATGCCTCACCAACCTACTAGAATTCTTTGAGGAAGTCAATGAGCAGGTGGATCAGGGTGATCCATTTGGCATAGTATATCTGGACTTCCAGAAAGCATTTGATAAGCTCCTCCATCAGAGGCTCTTAATGAAGTTAGGTAAACATGGGATTACAGGGCAGGTCCATTCATGGCTTAGAAGGTGGCTTAAAAATAGAAAACAAAGAGTGATTATAAATAGTTTTCATGATGAAAAGAAGTAAACCATGGGGTCTCTCAGTGGTCTGTATCGGGGCTAGTGCTGTTTAACATAAATGATTTGGAAAAGAGGGTAAGTAGCAAGGTGGCCAAATTTGCAGATGACACAAAATTATTTTAAGTGGTAAAGACCATAGCAAATTGCAAAGAACAACAGAAGGATCTGGCGCACTTGAGTAAATGGGCAACTAAATGGCAGATGAAATTCAATAGGTAGGTGTAAAGTAGAGGTAAGTTAACGTGCCTTCCGGCTGGGACCCCAGGACATTGTGTGCATGAGCACAGCTGCAGCATGCACATGGCCAGGAATGCAGCTGACAGCATGAAGAGCAGTGCCCTGCAGGTAAGTCTATGGAGGGGAAGGGGTGTGGGGGTTGCCCTACAGTGAAGGAGGGAGTGGGGCAGGGGCTGGAGCTGGGGGTGCTGCCCAGGCAGGGTGGTGAATGGGACCCCGGGGCTAGGTCAGGGAGTGGGATGGAGCTGCGGGTGGCTCGTCCAGGGGGTGCAGAGGAGTGGGGAGGGGGATGGGTCCCCACAGCTGCACCCCGCCAGGGGATGTATGGGGGTCCATGTGCCCGCCACCCTGGATTTGTGCATGGGGTAGATGTGGGCTGCCTGCTGTGTGCTCAGGGCCAAGGGCAGCACCAGCCTTTTCCCAGTGGCTATAGTCACCCTAAAATTAGCCCTAGCCCCTGCTTAACCACCCCCACCACCACTCATCCTGCACAGCATGAGCCTGCCCTACCCCTGCCTTCTCTGAGCCTAGCCCTGAGCCAGCCCCCACATCAGGAAGAGGTTAGCACCACCCCTGGCCCCAGGCTCACAGTGGGTAGCCTGCATCCACCCTCCACACAAATCTGGGGGGGCACATCCCCCTCCATGCTTCCCCTGGAGGTGCATGCAGTGGCAGGGAGCTTCCCTCCCTCTCCCCCTCACCCTCTGTATGAGCTACTTGTTGCTCTGTCCTGCTCCCCGCCCTGGCCCTGGGGTCCGATTCACCAACTTGGCTGGGCAGTGCCCCCAGCCCCTGCCCCACTCTCTTGCTCACTGTGAGGGGCCTCAATTTGCCTCCCCACCCTCTTTCCCCTCCACAGTTTTACCTGCAGGGTACTGCTCTCCACACTGCCTGGCTGCATTCCTGTAAATGGGTTATTGGATTGGTATCAGTTGATATGGCTAGTTAATAATTGGCTATCAGCATCGGCCAAGAAAATCTTTATTGGTGCACCCCTAGTGTAAAGTGATGCACATGGGCAAAAATAAGCCAAACCATACCTACACTGTTACAGACTCTACATTAGTTATTACCACATACGAAAGAGATCTGGGAATCATTGTTGACAGTTCACTAAAAATGTCACTTCAGTGCTTACAAAATGTTAGGAATTATTAAGGGAATTGTAAACAAAACAGAAAGTATCATTATATCCCTTTATAAATCCATGGTGCATTCACACCTTAAATACTGTGCCTGGTTTTGGTCTCCACACCTCAAAAATTATATAGAAGTAGTAGAGAAGGTACAGAGAAGAGCAACAAGGATCATTAGTGGTATGGAAGGACATTCCCCTTGAGGAGAAACTAGAGAGGCTAGGCCTATTCAGTTTAGAAAAGAGATGCTTGACGGGGGACATGATAGGGGTTTACAAAATACTGAATGGTGAATATAAAGTAAATAGAGATTTATTATTTACTATTTCTCACAATAAAATGAGTCATAAAATGAAACTTATAGGTTTCAAAAATAAGTTGAAAACTAACAAAAGGAAGTTATTTTTTTTCTCACAGTGTGTAATTAAAGTGTGGAACTCATTGCCACAAAATGTTGTGGAAACTGACAGCATAGCCAGATTCAAGAAGGGATTGGACAAATTCTTAGGGGAAGGGTATATCAGTAGTTATTGAGCATGGGATTTAGGGGTACAGCCTCTGAATCAGAGCTTCCTAGAGCCTAAATGCTGGAGGGTGCCAGTGAGAGAGGAACATTGGAAAAAAACCTTGGTCATACCCAGTTCATTCTCCCTTTCAGCATCCACACTCTGCCATTGTGTGTCAGGATACTAGGCAAGGTGAACATATGGTCTGACCCAGCAAATAGCAGTTCTTGCTCTTATGTTCTCTTAAACATCTAGTATGAGTTGGAGCCAGAGACAGGCCCTTGAACTAGGTAGTTTTTCAGTATGGCAATTCATTTGTTCCTG